GGAGTGATTAACTTTTCAGTCTAGGAGCGGAGGTCCCTGGGACCATTAAAGGAGAAGAGCAGAGAGCGGGACCCAACCCAGAGAAGCAGTGATGCCTGAGATGGAGGCAGAGACAATGATGTGCAGAGATGGAGCAGCTGGAGACTTTAGACACAGAGAGGGAGAGGGGTTGTGTGCTGACGACTGGGGGGCAGGCTTGTAGTGTATACCCTTTGGTTGATTGATGATAGGATGAATGTAAAACTAATGTTCTACCATATAAACTATCACATAATTCACAATAAAACATTAAAAAAAAAAAAAAGTCTTTACAGGAATAGAAAGCCTCATCTTTCTCCAACGGAACAGCTGGTAGTTTAAAACTGCTGACCTTGATGTTAGCAGTCTGACTTGTAACTGCTATGCTACCAGAGCTCCTTGTTAATCTAAGGAGCTCCTGTTAAAATTGCAGATTCTGATTCTGCAGGTCTGGGTGAGACCTGAGATTCTACATTTCTAACAAGCTTCCAATGCTGCTGCTGTTGTTAATATGCGGATCACAGGTTGAGTAGCAAGGATACCAGCAACCATTCTGCCCCTTTACTCCTGCTTCCCAATTTGAATAATTTTTTCCCCCAGTTTGTCTTTTAAACATAAAGCCTCTCCACCCAACCAAATAATTATGCATCTCTTCACCTTTATGAAAAAAGGATACAGCAATTTATCATTTGCCTTCTCTGTGCCAAATATCATCCGCAGCTGATGATGAGAAACAATGACCCAGGAACCCAAGAGAAATTAGCTGCAGCTGTAACTCCAAGGCTTTAATGCCCTTTGTATTAAGTCTCATGTCCCGCCCAACCTCACACCTTTTAAAAATTATGAGTATTAAACTTTTGACTCTAATAAAAAAATTTACTTGGTGGTCCAAAAAAAAAAGTAACGTGCATAGGTGTAGATAGAATACTATCATTTGTACTTTTTTAAATGTGTGTATAAGGGAGAACTATAAGGAGCTCTGGTAGCGTAGTGGTTACAAATTGGACTGCGAACCTCAAGGTCAGCAGTTCGAAACTACCAGCTGTTCCTCGGGAGAAAGAGGCTTTCTGCTTCCGTAAAAATTTACAGCCTCGGAAACCCTGTACAGGGTCGCTATGAATCGGAACCGACTCCACGGCACAGAACAACAACGATACAGTGATACTTTCGTATATCAAAACCAAACCTTTTGCCATCGAATTGACTCCCATCTTATAGAAACTCTGATTCCATCTCATGGAGAAGCTCTGGTAGCATAGTCAGGCTGCCAAACTCAGGGTCAGTATTTTGAAACTACCAGCTGTTCCGCGAGAGAAAGATGAGGCTTTCTACTCCCGTAAAGACTTATAGCCTCAGAAACCCTGTGCAGGGTCGCTGTGAGTCGGAACCGACTCCACGGCACATAACAACAACAACAACAATGGAATGATACTTGCATATACCCAAACCAAACCTTTTGCCATTGAATTGACTCCCAACTCATAGAAACCCTGACTCCATCTCATAGTAGCTCTGGTAGCATAGTCAGGCTGCCAAACTCAGGGTCAGTATTTTGAAACTACCAGCGGTTCCGCAAGAGAAAGATGAGGCTATAAAGATTTATAGCCTCAGAAACCCTGTGCAGGGTCGCTATGAGTCGGAACCGACTCCACGGTGCTTAACAACAACAACATAGCAACCATGTAAGACAGAGTAGAACTGCCCCATAGGGTTTCCTAAACTGAAATCTTACAGAAGCAGACTGCCACATCTTTTCCCACAGAGTAGGGAGTAGCTGTGGCATTCACACTGAATGCTTTAACTTGCTTATAGATGCATAAATATCTCTGGAAGGACACACAAGGAACCAATAACAATGGTTAGCTATTTGGTGGGGGAAACTGAAAGGAAGCAAGGACCGGAAGGGAGATGAGATTTTTCACTATATAGCTACTTTTATAAAACACATATTTGAACTATATGAATGTATTGTTGTTGTTAAGTGCCATTGCGTCGGTTCCAACTCAGAGCGACCTGGTATAGGATTTCCAAGGAGCGGCTGGTGAGTTTGAACCACCAAACCTGTGTTTAAACCTGCCTTGCAGTCTAGTGCTTTATCCCACAACGCCACACCAGGACTCCATATAAATGTATTGCATATTGCAAAAATTAAGTATTTTTTTCCTAATTAAAATAACTCGAGTCACAGACTATAGTCAATCACATTTCTGTTAGCGCTGTTGTATCTGATGTCTACAGGGTATTTCTCTATTTGGAGAAAAGGTCATACTCTTCTTAACATTTTTTCTCACAAACTCTTTTCATTCAAGATTTTGGATCTGAAGCAGAAATTAGAACATGCTCAGAAGGTCTGTCTCACAGACACTTGTATTTTGGGGAAGAAACAACTAGAGGAGAAAATAAAAGAAGCAATAGAAAATGAAGCTAAAGCAAAGCAACAGTATCAGGAAGAACAGCAGAAGAGGTAAGAGGAGGAAAGACCTTAGTTTCCTGTGACTTAAACCTGGATTGAGCTCCCCAGCAGTGTGAAGTTAGTGCTTTCGTATTTCCTCTGCGTCTTCAATGAGATAAACTCAGTCACGTAACAGTTTATATATACGACACTTGTTGTTGTTGTTGTTGTCAGGTGCCATCGAGTCGGAACCGACTCATAGCGACTCCATGCACAGCAGAACGAAACAATGTTCGATC